AAAGATTCGTGCTTATTTTTATTGTTCCTCATTTGGCTTGGAACTTTCCTAATCGTGCTTGAATGTTGAAATTAAAATAAGATTCCCTTGTTTCATGACCAGTTCTGGCTTTAATCTTGGTGTGGACCTCTTGACTAACATTTGTGCTCTGTCCCTTGATGAGTGATTCACATTCTGAGTATTGTCAACATGCGTGCTGCTCTTTATATCTTTCATTTTCCATGATAGTTCCGTCAATCTTGTGGTGAGTTGTTTGCAGCTTTCATTATTCTTTAGGGAAATTTCAGAGTATAGTAGGAAGCTTGATCTAAATTGCTTTATGTTAAGACACGTATTGATAAGTCAAATAGGTACTGAATGTATAAATGAAAATTGTCAGGAATGGGAAGATGACTCCTGTTTAAGCAAACAGCCGCACTGACCTTTCAGGTTTGGCTTCACCATGGTTCCCTGTTATCCTTTCATTTTGACTGAGGGCAGGTGTGAGCTTCCGTAAAAATGAGTAGGGCGGTGGGCTTGCACAATTTGCTCTTTGCATTTCACCCACTTGTAACTTGTTAACATCAATCGGGTATGTAGTTCAAAGTAGAAGTAATTTGTTTCTTAATTTTTGCGTATTGCCAATTCATCATTTTCAGATTGGGTACAAACCTCTCTGATTGGAAAATTCAATACTTTTCCCCTTTTCTTTGATTTTTTCTAGAGTAGATAATAAACCCCCTTTCTTCCATACTCTGCATACCCCTCAACAAATTCCACTTGGCTTTACATCGAGAATGCAAGTAGTGAGAGTAATTAATGCAATAAATATAATGAACATATTTACAAATCTATTTACAACAATTTAACTAACTGGTGAAGTTAGTTATTTGACATCATCTTCTTCCTCAGAGCCAGCTGTATCTAGCATGACAACATATTCACGAGAGGAGTAGCCAAATTTTAAGACATCCCTTTCACGAAGCTCGTAGTACCTCCGGGTCTCAATTTTGTTTCCATTGAGATAAGTTCCATTGGTCGATTCGAGATCAATAACATATAATCGCTCCTTCCCCTTAGTCTAGCAAGCGAAAACATTTAATTAGCAAAAATTTATCACATATGATTGCAAAACTTTGCATTTTTTGACTTACAAATCTGAATTGTAGAGCAGCATGTTGTTTTGAAATGCTGGGATGTAACATGGGTATTTCCACAACACGTGTATCACTTCCAATAAGATACCCACTTTGTCGATGGATGTGCATCACTTTGAGACTCTCGTCACCTTTGAAAGGATAGAGTCGCCAAAACCGGGTGGGCTTTCTGGCATCCTCCGGTTCATTGTATTTTATTACAACACCTTTATAGGAGTTTGTGTCTGCGGCCAACTTGCCAGAAAGTTCAAAGTTGACCTGTGCTTTAGGGCCTGGTTCGGAAGCAGGCTTGGATTCATCTACATAGTTCCGAGACTTTGTACCAGAATCTTTACTGTGGCGGTCATGGGTATTGGGATATTCGCGACGCGAATGACGTGGACTGCGGTGAAGACGGTCCCTGCGAGATCGGTCGCCGAAATCTGGATCAGGCTTTAAGTCTCGTCTAATTATATCATGCTCTTGGTGATCATTGATCAAAACTGGAGAAGAAAGCCTCGAACGCTTTACTTTAATATCATTTTTATGATCAATTATCATCGGAGAGCGCAGTCGACGTCGCCTATTAGTATCCGGTGGCGTAACTGGTTCACTTTTAATCTTCGGACTGTGCTTCACATCCATGTCAATGCAGCTACTGAGACCCAATAAAATGGGAGCAAGTTCACCGCGTTCAGGAAAGAGTCATCCAAAACAAGATTTTTAACAAAAATGCAAATGTTATTTAACTGTTCTAATAATAAATAAATTTCAAAATATAATAATTTTTGGTGGAAAATTTGAGAACATTCATATAATTTTGCAAGTTGAATGTTCGATTTCAATTAATTGAATTGCTGTTTATGACTATATTTGATTTCTCTAAATTAATCGATGAATAACATGTTTTAAAGTTAAGAAATTTAATTTTTTACCCTTAACAAAAAACATATATGATAAATTATTTTTATTCCTTCTTATAATACTTTATCCTAATCTATCGATTCAGCCATATTTCAAAATTTGTCTCCTAACTTTCAATTATAACGTATATTGTGCACCGAGATATAGATATTTTGAATTTCCAGTTATTATAAGACCACAATATTGGCGCCATGATGTTGAATAATTTGAAGTGTGATTTGCTTTAAATAGACCTTAATTTGTCTTACCATATAATATATGCACAATTTCATTATTCCCTCTGTGTTGTTATATTCATCCAAATTTGATTCGAAACGATTTTGACAATTTGCATACATTTGTGCCAATGTAATTCTATTCAAATTAGCAACGACCTAAATTATCTATCAAAAATTATTCATTTCTCTGTCATGCTAAAAGTTATATGTTACTCGTAATTGTTTATCATCATAACTGTTCA